AGCATTACTCCTTGCCCGATACTCCAGCCTTGGTCTGGGTTATAGGTTTCCCTCCTCTGAGCTTGCACAGTACACTGAGCTTGGTTACGTCTAAATCACAGCTCCTGTTACACTGGGCTCTAGGAGTCTTACTTTTCTAGCTTTCACCATGAACCCTGACGGGCAGGAATCCCATCTTTCACCATTGTATCTTTGTCGGCTAGCACAGTCCCCACCACAATGTCAGGCACTTGATAAACGTTGAATGAATGAATGCATTCATTGAGGGAGAGAGGTTCATCGCTGGCAGAAGGGAGTGGTGCATAGGAGAGCTGAGGAAGTAAAAGACGTGAGGGATTAAATATAGAGATGAGAGAGAGAAGGTAGGCAGAGGGGAGAGAGGGAGGACGACAACCATCCAGACAGATACTGGGGAGAAGACAACACTTGAAAATGAGCTGAGACAGCCACACAGGTGAGACTCCAGAGAAGGATGACTCTCTCCTTTAATAGTTCTCAAGCACAGTTCCCAGCAGTCTTTTTTTTTTTAAATCATGTATTCTCTTGTGCTCTTTAATGGTCTATGTACCTCAGCCCTACCTCCCACATAAAACTACATCTTGAGGAAGCTTCTAGAAGTTTATATAGTAGTTTTTAATTGTTCTGACTAGCATCTAGCATGACGCTCTGCATATATATATATAGAGGGCAATCAGTAAATACTTGTTGAGATGATCTAAAGAGTGAGTCAAAGTGAGGTTCAGATTCTGAGATGAGTATTAGCTGGAAGGAAAATAGATAGTATTAACACACTTAGGCAACTGCCACTGCATATTGAAAACAGAATGATCCTTTCTATACCAGAGGAAAGCCAGTCTTCTTGTTTTCAAATGTAAGTTTGAAAATGTTATTTCTTTCATTCTTTCAATACCTTTTAACATTTCTCCTATCTTAAGAAACTGCTCTAGTTTTGGAATTTGGAATCTCAATGACACTGCCTAATTTACTGGCTATTCATGAAAATTTTTTTTTCAGACTGCTTTATATCTTTATCCCTGAAAAACTAGGATTGCTTTATTACTGAATCCTGAAAAGTTACATTTTAGAAAGAGAACTCAGTCCTAAGCACTTTCCAAAATCCAATTCAGATCCATTTTATAGTCTATTTCAGAGGTTTTAAATCTTCCTTCCTTCCTCCCTCCCTCCCCTTTCTTTCTTCCTTTGTTTCCCCATCTCTCCCTCCCTCCCTTCCAAATTTTTTTTTCCTTTTCTTTCCCTTCTTCCCTCCTTCCCTTCTGTTTCCCTCCTTCTCTACTTTCTTCCTTTCTTTTGGCCCAAGGATTCCAAAGAGGGGCTTCAGGTCAGAGTAGGAGGTGTCAGAGACCTGCTATTAGTCAGGCTCTGACCCAGGACACCTCCACTTCGGTAACAGTGTTTGTCACACAGTCTTGTCCAACTTGCTGCGAGCTGCATGGACTGACTGTAGCCTGCAAGTCTTCTCTGTCCATAGAGTTCTCCAGGCAAGAATACTGGAGTGGGTTGCCATTTCCTTCTCCAGGGGATCTTTCCAACCCAGGGATCGAATCCGGGTCTCCTGCACTGCAGGAGGTTTCTTTATCCGTCTGAGCCACTTCAGGGAGGCCCACTTCAATAAGTCTGCTTTTATTTGCATAACATTTCTTTTGAAGAAATTTGACAACTAGGGTTGAGAGGTGACAATACAGAATAAGAACAGTAACTTAAAAAGCTCTTAAAGAACTGATCATCTTTATCTGCTACTATTCAACTGTTCTTAGCAAATCTTTAGAGGCTGCTCCATAAATTGAGGAGTCAGAAGCTGAGAATTCATTTGATGATGGAACAGTGATAGTGACTGGACAGAGTCTTAGCCCTCATCCATTCACCTTTACCACCACTTCCCACTTACGTTCCATGGTAATATGTGTAGGGACTAAGATCCATTAAAAATTTTTAATTTTGGAAGGGAATTTCTGGGAATCCTGCTCTAGAAATGGATTTTATTTACATCTGGATTTTAGAGTTTAGGGAATAATCCTGTCTTCTTTTAAAAAAGAGACTGAAAGCACAAGGTGTAAGGATGAGGAGTTAAGACCTATCAGAGGACAGAAGAGGTGGGGAGGAGGTGCTAAGATCTAACAAGAGGTCATGTGTTATTTTGGCTTCTTTGAGGACAAAGGAGAGAACAAGAGAATTCAGGGAGAGCAATTTCCAAACAAGGAATCGTGAGACCCAGAGGTCCCACATGAAAAACTGGGTGTTCTAACATTTGGGTTGAGCCCAGCAATGGGACATCTCATTTGGTGCCTGTAAGGTTAGATAGGTGGGCAGGCAGTGGCATCTAGAAGGCCCACCCATCAGGTCCTTACCAGTAGACTAGTGTTTATGGGCAGAGCTTTTGGCCCTGACACTGGAAAGACCTATGCAGGATTTTAGTTCTTCGATAATTAATTGCAGCATTGGCAGCTTATTGGTGTGGGGACCTAAAATGGAGAACAAAACAACATTCTCATGCTATAAACTGGGGCACGTGGGAAGACTGAGTCTTTGGGGTTTGAGGGCAAGGACCTCCTATTTAGAACACAGAAGTAGACAGGGGGTTGCACTGCACCAGAACTCAGGAGCTGGGTGGTAAGCATTAGGATCCTATGTGAGGGATCATTAAATTGGGAGAATGAGTCCAGTGGGGGATTATGTGTCAAGACATGGGGGAAGGCAAAATCAGGTAAAAATGAGGCTGCGGTAGAAATGGTTGAGAAAAGTCAAAGATATGTTATCACTTTAGGTCTTTTTTTTTCCACAACAGATAATGGTCATACAATCTTAAACTCAAAGACAGGAGCTAAATAATTCTACTGGTTGCTTAAAACTGGCAAAAGAATAAATAATTTGAACTCTAAGACATGTGACCTACTAATAATCTCTGATAAAAACTGTAAAGAGAGAAGGGAGTTGCTATAAACATAGCTAGCTGATTCAAATTTTTAGTTAAGCAAGTGAAAGCGTTAGTCGCTCCGTTGTGTCCGACTCTTTGCGACCCTATGGACTGTAGCCAACCGGGTTCTCTGTTCATGGCATTCTTCCCTGCTGGCTCAGACGGTAAAGAATCTGCCTGCGATACAGGAGACCTGGGTTCCATCTCTGGGTTGGGAAGATCCCCTGGAGAAGGGAATGGCTACCCTCTCCAGTATTCTTGCTTGGAGAATCCCATGTACAGTGGAGTCTGGTGGGCTACAGTCCATGGGGTTACAAAGAGTTGACACAACTGAGTGACTAACACTTCCACTTTTAGTCAAGTAAACTGATGGTCTTTGGGGATGTCCTTACATTTTATTTTGCAATCTTCTCAGGTGCTGGAATCAGTTCAGAGAAGGAGAACTGGGAAGTATGAAGAGGACTTTGCATTTTATTTTCCAGATAATAGTCCTTGGATACAAATCCTTTTATCTTTATTTGTCAACACACAGTTTGCTTTAGTTTGGTGGTATGAATAATTCAAAGGTTGCTCTTAGCAATTGTTGTTGTTCAGTCGCCAAGTCGTCTCCGACTCTGCGATTTCATGGACTGTGGCATGCCAGGCTTCCCTGGCCCTCATGATCTCTCAGTTTGCTCAAGTTCATGTCCATTGCATGGGTAATGCCATCCAGTCATCTTATGCTCTGACACCCTCTTCTCCGTCTGCCCTCAATCTTTCCCAGCATCAGGGACTTTTCTAATGAGCTGGCTGTTTGCATCAGATGACCAAAATACTGAAGCTTCAGCTTCAGTCCTTTCAATGAGTATTCAGAGTTGATTTCCCTTAAGGTTGACTGGCTTGATCTCCTTGCTGTCCAAGGGACTCTCAGGAGTCTTCTCCAGCAACACAGTTTGAAGGCATCAATTCTTTGGTGCTCTGCCTTCTTTACTTTATTACTCTTGGCAATACTTGGATCCTAAAAGTGCCTATATATTTTTGGCATGTAGAAATCACAGCTTTTTAAAACTGGAAGTGATTTTAAGATCATCAAAATGAAATTGCTTCATTTTACAACTGTGGACACTGAGGCCTGTAAATGCTACATGACTTGCTTAATGCTGGGGTATGAATGGCTGGGCCATGACTAGAAACAATGAAACAGATTTCTAGTTTACCACTATTTCCATTACCATGCCTATCCTACTTCAGATATAACCTAAGCTTTTAAAACAACAGTAATAATGATAATAACTGTATTTATTAACAACTTTAATCTGAATTTATTCTATCAGAGCAATTTATTATTTCCAATGAGAATTTATAATTGGCATTTCAGTGATGCTGACACTAGCTTGCCATGCCCTTCTGTACAAGCTCAAAATGTATCCATCAAACTTCCTAATTTACTCTTTGACTGGTAATGATGAGTCCTGTTTATTTTAAAATACATTTAAACATGTATTTGCTGAGTTCTGTTGAAATGAGATAATTTAAAAAAGAATTTCAACTGTCCTGGTGAAAAAAAAAAGACCCATGGATTTTTATCTCTTAGGGCAAGCATTTGAGTAATCAATTTGAAAACTCTATTACATATTTTTTCCTTTATCTAAGAGGCAGACAAAAATTCTGGTCTTTTTTCATTTTGGTCAAATTCTTGTGCTAATTTCACTGTGATTTCTGCTATGCATGTGAACTATGACCATATACAAAAATGGTCTTAGCTGTGGGCAAAGATTAATTGGTGAAAAATGGGCCTGTTTGTGGGATTTACCACACAGTAAGGTTTCACATCTCCCTGGAAAAATGTGGAATTAGCTCTTTGAGAAATGCAGGCCTGTCATAAGGTGGAAGGGAGAGTTTTGGAGGAGGGAAACACAGTTCAGTCACTAAGATAGTTATGATTGGTGAGATTCCAGAGCAGTCCCTTCCGTACAGCAGTTCTTCCCGCTTTCGAGTCCGTGTTTCCCACATGTAGCTAGTTTCATCAGTAATTCACAGAAAGCATCTTATTTGGCTTCTTTCACGGCCAACTGATCCAAACCTGGAAATGATCTTGGAGCGAACCCCTAATCCTCCCATTCCCCCACCCCCAATATGTAGTTACAGTGAAAAGCCTTCAATGTGGGAAGATCTTATCGACAACAGATTTTCCATGCTTGCTGAGGCAGAAACAGATGTGGACCCACTGTTAGTTTGGCAAGGGTGCAGGGACGATGGGACGGTAGCTCCGCCCTTTGTGAAGATGGTTCTTGAGGAAGACAAACTCGGTAATGCCGACTGGGATGCTCCCAGGGAGCGCTCCACGTGCATGCTCCTCCCTAAAAAGCCACTGAAGGGCCTGCTGCATGGCCCAGGAATCCATGCTGCTGTGAGGACAGACCTAGTCACAGTGATCAAGGCTTCTTCCCCGTGACTTTGGTGGGGACTGGCACTTACCAGGTCGCAGCTCGGCTCGGACAGCCCAAGGGTCCACCCTAAACTGGGATGGGGGTAAAGGCGGGACCTGTCGCCTCCCCACCTCAACTCGGTTTCTCTACGAGGCACTCCCCTTGGGGACCATAAGCGCCCTCTTCCCCTACGCCCCCAGTGGTGACCTGTCGGAGCCTGCTTGAGGTCTGTGACTTATCCCGAAAGGAACCTGAGCGCCTGGGGGAATCCCAGGATGGCGGGCTTGTCCCCTTCCATCCGAAAAGGATCCCTCCCACCCCTCCCAACCTGGGTCGGCCTCCGGGCGGCCGCAAGCCACGCTCTCCCCAGTCTGGGCACGCTGAGGCGGCTGGGGTCCCCAGCCCGCGATGGGGTAGGCGGCGGGCAGAAGCGGCGGCGCCCTTGGCGGCCGGACGGGCCGGGGCGCGGGCGCGCGCAGGCGGGCGGGCGGGGCGCGCACCCGGCCGGGGCAGCGGCGGGGGAGGAGCGCCCGCCCGCCGCTCGCGCGCCCAACGGACCAGGCTGGGGCCGAGAGGTAACTGTTGCAGCCCGCGGGAGCCGGGAGGCGACGCCGACGCTCCAGTCCCAAGAACTGCCCGGGGGAACAGGAGCGGGGAGTCCGGCCGCCGAAGTCCCGGAGAGGCGACCCCTCTGCTCCTCTTCTCAGCCAGCATGTCCCGGACCCCGCTGCTCCTCCGCCCGCGCGGCGGGGACCCCGGGCCGCGCCGGCGGGCGCAGCCCTGACGCGCCGCCGAGCCGGGGGGCGCTCCGAGCGCGGGGGCCAGGCGGGAGGGAGCGCGAGCGGCCGCTGCTGTCCGAGCGGGGCGTGCCGAGCCCCCGCGGCCACCGGGCGTCCCGGCCATGAGGAGGGACGAGCGAGACGCCAAAGCCATGCGGTCCCCGCCGCCGCCGGACGGGGCCGCCTCGCCCCCCGAGAGTGTGAGGAACGGCTACGTGAAGGGCTGCGTGAGCCCCCTGCGGCAGGACCCTCCGCGGGGCTTCTTCTTCCACCTCTGCCGCTTCTGCAACGTGGAGCTGCTGCTGCCGCCGCCCGCCTCCCCTCAGCAGCCGCGGCGCGGCTCCCCCTTCTCCCGGGCGCGCCTCTCGCTGGGCGCCCTGGCCGCCTTTGTCCTCGCTCTGCTGCTCGGCTCCGGGCCCGAGGGCTGGGCTGCCGGGGCCGCCCGGTTGCGGACCCTGCTGAGCGTCTGCTCGCACAGCCTCAGCCCCCTCTTCAGCATCGCCTGTGCCTTCTTCTTCCTCACCTGCTTCCTGACCCGGACCAAGCGGGGCGCCGGGCCGGGCCGGAGCGGCGGCTGCTCCTGGTGGCTGCTGGCACTCCCCGCCTGCTGTTACCTGGGGGACTTCTTGGTGGGGCAGTGGGAATCCTGGTCTCGGGCGGACGGAGACGCCGGGGCCCCGGGCCCGCACACACCCCCGGCGGTGGCGGGCCGGTGGTTCTTGGTGCTGAGCTGCGTGGGCTTGCTGACGCTCGCGCAGCCGGGGAGGCTCCGGCACAGCATCGTGGTGCTGCTCTTCTCCAGCTTCGTCTGGTGGGTGTCCTTCACCAGCCTCGGGGCGCTGCCTCCGGCCCTCCGGCCCCTGCTGTCCTGCCTGGTGGGGGGCGTCGGCTGCCTGCTGGCCCTGGGGCTGGGTCACTTCTTTCAAATCAGGGAAGCTCCCCAGCAACCTCAGTTGTCCAGTACCGCGGAAGAAAAAGTGCCTGTGATCAGACCCCGGAGGAGGTCCAGCTGCGTGTCATTAGGAGAAACTTCAGGCAGTTACTATGGCAGTTGCAAAATGTTCAGGAGACCTTCGTTGCCTTGCATCTCGAGAGAACAGGTATGTTTCCAGAAAGGCAAGGTTTGCTAAGGAAAGGAGGGCGGTTTTATCGCTTCAGTTCCCGAAATGAATTAGTGCGTTTGAAAGCTTGTTTACTTCCAGGGTTTAAAAAAAAAAGTTTTATTCTGGAAATAATTCCTAAAATACAGGAAGCTTAGAAAAACAAAAACAAAAAAACGCAGAAGGATCATTTATCTTTGAATAGACATGAAATAGACTAAGCATGTTACACTTTTTAAAGACTTTGTTTATGCAGTAGATGCATTCTCGGAAGAATGAAGTGAATTATTTGAAGAATCAAATAATGACACTTTTGGTGTCATTTATTTGTTGCTGTAATAATGGTGCTGTTTCCCCCAAAGATGACATACAGCCATTAGAATGAGTGAATATATAGATGTGGGAATTTTAATCAGTGTGATTTCATTATTCTTGCTAATTGAGAGGACAAATCTGAGGTCTTATAATTACGAGAAAAGTGATGAGTTTTGGAACAGAGACTTGTTAACTTAGATGAAAAGACCGTTGGGGATAATTTTAAGAGGTTTCTTCCCCCACCCCAAATTTCAGCAGTAATAAGCTAATATAATCTTTGACAGACTAACTCGTGGTCCTGTGTGTTTGTTGCATAATTAGGAGAATGTTGTAACAATTTAACCTTTAATCTTAGTAATGTTTGGAAATATACCAAAAACATTTACAATTTATTTTCCTGTAGGTTTACTTTTTTTTTTTTTTAAGGAATTGAAATCATCATTAGGGAGAGAGTTTCTTTTTATAGCCTAGGGAAATCTTATCTGTTCTACATTAGAAAGAAACTAACTATAGCTACTATTCTCTGAGCATGTTACTAAGTGCAAAATACTTGTGTAGTCTTAAACCTTCACAAGGACACTGTATAGTAGATGACATTAACCTCAAGTTAGAGATGAGCAAACTGAGGCTTATAGAGATTACCCAACTTCACACATTATCATCAACAGTGGAAGTGCTGGGATTTGAACCTAGATTTTTCAGTTTTCAATGCTTTCTTCTAAGCAGCTAAGAGGATAAATGTAGAGGTTTGCTTAAATTGGTAAGAAGGAGTTTATACCCTTGGTTTTCAGACTTTTTGATTAGTGATACATTTTACACTGGGGACCCAATATATCTGAAACAGAAGTTTCTTATTGTTACCAATTCTGATTTTTTTTGCTCTTTGCTCTTCAATATAATCTATAAGCTACTATACTATCTGTAGTGCTCAAAGAGACAAACACCTTGCTTCCTGAAAAGTGTTTTCAGAGGCCGCTTTTGTGGTCTGTATTTGGTCAAATGCTTGAAAAAAATTGTTCAAAAAATATCATGCCTCTTGTTTTCTCAGTTTACTGCCAATGATAATAGTAGACAATGCCCAGGAAAACACGTATCAGGAGAAAAATTGTCAGGAGAAGATTCACTGTAGAGAAAAGTCATATCAACTATTTTCATAGATAGGAATAACATTGGACATTTGACTTTTTGTGAATAGATCGCATTTTTTAACACCAGGAAAGTGTTTTAGCATAGTTTCATTACACTGGTAGACAGTTTTCCAGAGTGTAGTAGTATTACAGTTTAACATAATTGTAATGTGTTGGAGTAGTGAATTATGGCTGTTATCTTATTAATTGAAAATTCCTGGTCTGGTGCTCTTTCCATCACAGCAACCTTTTTTCAACAGTTAACTAGGTGCAGCATTGTTATGCAAGCTTTATGGTAGCTTTAATTGTTATTTGTATTAGAGGAAAAGACAATTTGTGCTTTTTAAAAAGGGCATATTTTATTAGTACTGAAAACTCTTCACTGAATAGGAACATTTTGGGGGGGGTCTTAAGTATATGCTAATAGTTCAGGGGTTTATATATGGTTAGCTAATAATGTTCAGTGTCAAACTATAATATTCTTTTGGCAATACTAGAAACTACTAGATGTTTTTAACTTGGCAGACATTGTAATAACAAAAATTTTTACTTATGCTTTTTTCCTGAAGTTCAGCAGTGGATCTGTGGTTTTTTTTGCATGTACATTATATGAAAGAAATTAAGTGGAAACCTATACTTTTATAGAAGTAAAAGGTTAAGATTTTTTTTTATTTTAAAAGTGCTAAACATTGTATGTAATCATTGTAAAGTCACTCTCTTGTTTCAGAAAATGAAGGGAGACAAACAGTTTTGGGTGGAAGCTGATGTTGGGGAAAGTGCCCTGGATTCATAGAGATTCAAGGGTAAAGTCTTGGGTCTATGGTCATATTGGAAAAGTTGGTGAGCCTTTCTAAGTCTCAGTATCCGGTCAAATCAGGGGCTCCAGTAGATGAATTCTATACCACCTTTCAATTCTAGAATTCATTTCTTTTAGTTAGTTTACATTTTTTGTAAGCTACAAACGAAAGTATAAATAAAACTTCACAAGTTAATAGATCTTGATGTTTTACTTAAATGTTTAATGTTGATGTTGCTAAGCCTATATTTTCCAAGGTGTGATAACTGAAAAATATGAAGAAATAGTCTGTGTTTTTTAATAGAAAAAACTTTTAACCCGTATATGTGGATATTCATTTTTGGATTGATAAATTTATTACACTTTCATTTCCTTATGAATTTAAACATTTTTATGAACATCTTTGAAAAGCAATTGAAAACTCATGTCAATAAAAATGTTTTTAATTGTGTGAAAGTAGATGTTAAGTAATTTTTAACATTTAGATTGTAATGTCAGATACTGTATTGAAGCATAGTGGCATACGTTTGTAAAACGATTTTCACAGTTAGGTTTAATGTTTAGTTACTGCTGACTATGTTCCTCCTTGGATTAATGGAAAGAAGCATTAAGTTTGTAGTGTATTTGCCAAGACTCAGCTGAAACTAATAAGAAGTTAAAAAAAATTTTTGTTTTAGTTGTCTACATGAGATACTTTGGCCAGAATTTAACAAACTACATTTCTGTGTCATTTTAATTATACTTTCTACAGTGGAGATTTCAGCTGTAAACCAGATCATTTTATGTGTGATGGACTAGGTAAATACGAGGTTAGTCTGTTTGTGAGATATTTTTCTATATCTAAAATGCTGAGTGGTTTCTAAATGGTTAGGTAAATATTTAAAAATTCTGTGGCCTTAAAGCACATAAATATTATTTAAAGTGTTAATTTTATTTGAAAAAGGATATGAAGGTTTTAAAAAGATTTTAGTTTGTGATTATTTATTCCCCTAAGGAATTTGCAAGGCATAACCTTCTATGAATTTTTAAAAGAATACTGTGAAATTTGGCCAATTCTAATTTTGTGTTAATATTTTACAATTAAACATCAGCCTACATAATGTTTTTTATGCTTTATTTTGTAAATATTATATGTACCTTGCCATCAGAGTTATCTTTCAAAAACAGATTTTTATCAAATCACTTGCTCTGTTTCAGAAATCTCTTACGGCTTTTCATTGTACACAGAATAAAGTTCATGCCCTTGATCCTTACTTGCACAGCCCATACGAATCTGTTTTTAGCCTTGTGTTTTGTTTTTTTAAAAAGCCGTTAGAACTTATGGAACACCCTTTCCCCGCATCCATCCATGGCTCTAGCTGTTTGAGGACTGCTTATTGTTCCTGATGTATATGTAGAGTTTTTCTTTGGCTTTTACCATTCACACTGATTGAAATCTCCTTTAAGAAATGTATTAAAATGTGTCAAGATTAAGAAGCCTTTCGATACCAAAGGGATGCTCAAATTAGCGTATAAATTGAGAACAAAACTGCGTCATAGCAGACTTGGCCATGTTTAAAAATAAAAGTTGACAAGTCATGTGGAGCAGTGATGTGATGATGTGTGAGAGAATATTTTCATTATACCACATGAAATAGTAACATCTCCATAGTTTGTTTTCCCACACAGAGTGGAAGGTAAACAGGGCCAGCCATAAGTAAAACTTTGGCTTTAGTCAAGTTTAGTGGCGTTTCTTTTTTCATTGTCCTCTGATTTTTTTAATCCTTCTCAGTGGCAGGCCCTTTTCTGATTCTCTTTCCGTTACCAAGTCAGCCTGTTTCCTTAGTGAATTCTCCTGCCTTCTTAAACCTTTCCCAAAGCGGAAAGAATCTATACGTGCTGGAAAAGTTTGTCTAGACATTAGCATGCTTATATAGATATAGAAGAGAGAAGAGATTTATAGAAAGGAAAAAAATTCAGCTCTGGAGAAAGAATATTGTCTCTAGGTTATGACATGAGATGACATTGGGATTCAGGACTAGAAGCTTCGTCTTGACTCCAAGTTCCCCTAGTACTTGCCGTAAAGAGCATATGCACCTGTGGTTATAGTTTTCCAAGGGTGTACTTAATTTGCCAGCCATCTTCAATCACCTGATAAACAATGTCCCTGGTTAAAAGAGGTTGAGGGTAGTGGTGGGAGAGAAAGGGCAGTGAGAGACAGGAGGTGCTCTTGAAATCACATAGTTCATGATGACCTTGTAGGTAAACTTGGTACCTGGTATTGTTATTTCAGGGTGACTTACCAGGATGCAACTGGACTCAAACTCAGGTGCCTTCAGAGGCCAGCCACAGAGCCTGTTTACCTTGTATGTTGCGGAAGGAGGGGAGGTGAGGAAGAATGGGAGTGAATGGACTGTTGCCTGCTTTACCTAAGGGCTTTCAGTTTGAACAAAACAAACTGAACAACTGTGTTAGCCAAGCAAAACTTTAGTAGTGCTGGGTTCTGTCTGTGGGCAGTTCCTGACAGTTTATAACATTGTTCACCATGTTATTTACAAGCTGATTCATGTTTATTTAAGAGATTGTTGGAAGTCTGTTCTTGTAATTTGGGGAAGAGGAGTATTTCCCACTTCTTTTACAGCCTAGAACTTTTTCTCCAGTATTGATTTACCTGGAAGGTATCTTATCTTTATAGATTTTCCCTCCTCTATCAGATAGGGTACATTATTTGGTTGCTTCCTTACATTTTGTACAACTTGCTTTCAGCATATTTTAAAGTTATT